GGAGGGGGTGAAGGGAGGGCAAGGGAAGGGGAAAAAAAATAAGAACCAAGAGACTCATGTAATGGTACAAGATCCCAATGATGAATGTAACTATTTTATACCTAAAATGTACCGATAAAGTTAATGGGGAAAAAATAGCATCTATCTTTTTGAAACAGCATTTGATTGCTTGATGATTGATACTGTCATTTAATAACATGGAGGCACTAAAAAGAAAGAGCAGATTTGGGGACAGAGAGATGGGAGAGTTGGGTTTTCAGACTAAGGAATCTCACCCATGTTCTAAAGTACTTCATTTATATTTTATAGTAATATAGTCACATTCCCCAGTTCTTTTGGTCCACATCTTCCCCAAGGAAAATCTGTACATAGATTACAGAGTTCCTGGATCTAAGACTATATAGTCCCAGGAAAAATTAGTTGGGGTAGAAGTCATAGTTTACCACAGAATCTTCATGAGACAGAATCCCCAAATCTATGGTGAAAGTAGAAAAAAATAGTCTTCTCTCTTAAGAATAATTTTAAAAAGGTAACCCAGAGGTTTCAGTTTCCAGATTGTGGTGAGTAATAGGATCATAGCATGTCAAAACAATGGAGGCAGTGTATCCCTGACAGCAGTAATAAATAGCTTTTATTGAATGGGTAACATATTTCAGAACTTCACTAAATGGTTTCTTACCTCTGAGCCTTTTGAGGTAAGTACTTTTTGACCAGAACATAGAGAATAGAACATGAGGCTTAGAGGTTATAAGTCATTTTCTGAAGGCTACACAGATGGTAAATGGAAGAGTGAAATGGCCAGATATGTGTGAGCCAGGACTAGAGTTTTCCACCACTAAACCCTACTACCCCGGCACACAAATAGAAGATAAAACTTCGGAGTCAAAAGCTAGAAGGAAAATGAAAAACTATGTATACATCAGTTACAAAATATTGTTAAATAATTCAAAATAAAGGAAATGTCTTTGTTGTGCTGCACTGTTTTCATTATACACAGTTCCTAAAGACATAACTGACTACTTCAAGGTTGAACTTTTGATCAACAGAATTTTATACAAATTTTCAGGCATTTTAATTTTATCATGATGCTCCAATCATTTTTAATTTCATCCTTCCTTCATCCTGTGCTCTTCAAAAAATTCTTAACTTGCAGTTGTTTGGCTTTTTCCTTTCAATATCTGTGGTTGAAATTCATTTTATTTCATCTGGTCTTTATCCCTGTACCCAATTCTTAAACCACTTTTGATGAGTACTGACCTTTTCTAACACGAATTATATGCTGGTACATGACTCTTAGTTGAAAAACTTGCTTTAGTTTGAGTTTTTTAAAGCCAGTTTAAAAAGCAATAAGACATTTCAATTCAATTTTTGTGGAGTTCTAAGTGATATAATAATAGTTTCATAGTAATTGAAACTCCTAGAAGGTTGCAAATAAAAAGAAGAACATTAATCTCACCCTTTCATCCACCCCACCCTCTATACACTCATTCTCTCACAGCAGCAATGTAATGGCTGTCATTTCTAGCATCTTCAACTACAGCTCACTAAACTGAGTTTTGAGCAATAAACAAGGTTTATAAGAGGAACGGAGCATTCCAATTGAGGGGGGGACAATGTATATGATGTACAGGCAAGATATGAAGGAATCTACAACTTGGGAAGAGGGGGATGAATGATGATAGATTACATGATGTTGCTAAGTTGGAACCAAATATCGAGGACCTTTTATACCATTTGAAGAAAGCTGAATAGATGCTAAGGTAACAGCAAGCCATTGGCAGCATGTTTTCTTCTGTGATCCATTTATTTTCTTCCTCTTTTGTTGCTATTTAAGTTGAAAGACAAAGCTAGCCATACCTCCTTGAGTTTGTTCTTATCCATTTATGGCACATTGCTACAGTCCAATCCACTCAGCAGCCTAATTCTGTGGTTCTCAATATGTGAAATTGCTCTTTGGCTGGAAGATAGCCATGGATAATTCAAAGGAAGCCAATTTAAGTGGAACCCTGGAAGCTTATCAAGCAATTGAAAAATACAAACAGAAAAATAAACAAAGATCATTCAGGAGAAAAAAATATATGTCCACTACTGAAACTGTGGGTGTCCTTTTTCAAAAAGACATGTTTCTTCTTTTGTGCCTGTGCAGTTGTCCACTATGCCAAAGAGCAATGTATCAGATTAATGGACCACCTCAGGTGGAGAGCAGTTCCAATAATACAAAGTTGTCCCAAGCTCCCTCCACTGTGATCCAGATTTCACATAAGTTTATTCTAGAATTGACAGAACCTAAGCAGGTCTAATTAAATTTTTAAAATTGCAGCACCTGATTAGTTATTCCACGAGTACAATGTGAGCGTGTGTGTGTGTGTGTGTGTGTGTGTGTGTGAAATTTTGAAACTTTTTACAAAACTGGACACATTTTCTGTAATTTGGCTTTTTCAGTACTTTCTACTTTCATTATGAGGGCTCCTACTACAAAGAAAATTGCTTTACAGAATTTTACTACATTATCCAGCCAAAAGTGTACTTCTCCTGAAACAGGAAACTGTCTGTTACTGGTCCACATATGCTGAGGGACCAGGAGAAATGTGGCAAACTTGATGGAAAGTGTGCAGCAAACAAAATAAAATACTATCAGCTGGCCTAGTGAACTTGCAATGTTCACTATTCCTCTAATAAACACTGGTTTTATTGTATGGAACATGCTGAATATTGTTCGTAAGCAAGTGTTTGTTATTTAACTCACTGAACTGTGAGCAAAAGAAAAACAGGTGGCTTTGAAAAGGATGTGTTGAAGAGTTCAATGCATTGTCTGTCCCACTTTCTAAATACAAATGTATCAAGTTCAATATTGCTAAATGATTTCCTAGTTTCAGGAAACCTAGAGGTGTTAATATCTTATCACTTTAATTTACCAAAGAATAAGTAATGATAGATTTACTAAACAAGTGTACTTTTAAAATAGCACCATTGAAAATCCTGGGGTAAAAATATGGTCACATCAGATCTTCCCATAACTAATATTTGTTTGGTCTTAGGAGCATGGCATTCCTACTGACATGGGCTATGCAGTAGCCCCACATCATTCAGGTGTCTATCCTGTACATGTTCAGCTTTACGAGGCTTGGAAGAAAGTTTGGAATATTAAAATCACCAGCACTGAAGAATATCCACATCTGAAACCAGCTAGATATCGGAGAGGATTCATCCACAAAAACATCATGGTAAACTTCCTCCTTTATTCCTAATTCTGCTAGATTTATATTCCTCACTTGAAGAAAAAATAAAAGAAGAGCAAAATATTAAAAGCTTGACTTTAGGAAAAGCTCCAAATATGCTGTAGAAAGCATATTTGTCATATCTAAGCAAAGGATGTTCTAATTAATGGGTTTTTTTTAACTGACAGTACTGATTAGCTGGCAATGCTGTGAAAATACTAAAAAAAATTAAATGAAAATTTCAGAGGATTTTAGAAGCCATCATTTCTTCAAAATCTTATTTACTAGGTAAAAAAAAAAGACTACCCCTCCCTATTTTAACCATTTTGCCTTTATATAAACCAATCAGTATTCTTTTAACTATGCCAGCCTAAAAAAGTAAACTATTTATAGCAAGAAGCTGCATGCCAAGTCCTGCATAATCATTATCAGATGATAATACAGAGAACAGATGACAGATATTGTCAATGAAATCATTTCTATCCATTGCCTAATTCTCTCCAGAGTGTCTGTTTTGCTTTGTTTTTTCATAGGTGGCAAAAGTATACTATCAAAATAATGTTACTACCTAACACTATGTGAGACCTCCCAAAATAAGTAATTAAATCTTAATGTTTCCCAAGCCAGAAAATCCAAGGAAAGTACTGGAAAGGTAGGAATGGACCTCCTAATAACTCTCAGAGTTCTAGAGTTGAGCAGATATCTACTCTCTGGAATTAGGTGTAACTGACTTCCTTGCACTTTGCTACCTGCAAAAATTAAGAGTGAATAATGACATTTCCCTTGTCTCAACTCACATCTTGACTTTTCCCTCAGTAAAACAATGTTATAAATGTTAGATGCGGGTATAATGGCCACATTTTATCCCAGCCTGCCGTTTGGCTGGGCAGTAAGAAAAAGAACTTATTGTACCTTAAACTGCCAGCCTTCTGACCAGAGAGTTTTAAAGACTTGCCTTATATAATTAAACAGTACCCAAATGCTTGTTTGTCATCTTAAAACAATAGGCACTCCCATAAATAGTCAACTTAAGTCTATAAAGACTTTATCAAGTTTTTTTTTCTGTTTTGTTTCTCTTTTTATACTGTCAGAAAACTTGTTGGGATGTTTCCTTTGAGATACATTGAGTTTCTGTTTCTCCTGAAAAAAATATTTTACCTGTATTATAAATACATGAATCTTTCAGGTAATAAAAGCAGTAACAGATTACTTGTTTTGACAGAGCTGTCCTCGTGGTTCCACTTTTGCATAGAAAGCCTCTATATTTGGTTTATGAGCTCTTGTATAAAAATTTCCAAGTAGAAAATGTTCAGCAAGCACTTGATTATTTAATAAGAGAGAGAGGAAAGGGCTAGGAGCCATCCCAAAAAAGATACAAGTTGATACCACAAGAGCCAATGTGCCCCCCCGCCACCGACAGCAAAAAAAAAATGAGCAAGGAACTCAGGTATAAACCTTAGGTCAGACACGTCTTTTCCCATACAACTTGAAGAAAAAAAAATTAATGACCCATTGATAAACTCAAGAGACTTAAACTCATTATCTTCCCTTAAAATCCAGCTATTGATTCTGCTATTTCCAATTCAGTTCTGCAATTTAAACATCACATAGAGACCCCATTTCAAATCAGTCTCTAAATTCCATCAGTAATTTCTTTATATCTTTTCATTTGCTTTAGCACAGCCACTATCTTAATTAACTGCTTTGGTTTTCATATGTCAACTGTTGTGCTAATTCCTTGTCTATTCATAGCCTCTACCACCCCACCACTACCACTGCAGTCTGTCCCAAAGATGGTGCCAACTTTTGAATCTTTCCATACTTTAGCCTTCATGCTGACCTTTCTAACTTTTATTAGTTACAGTTGTTTCCACGCCCTTTAATGTGCTCTTCCAGGTCCTGAAAATAAGCTGAACTAAGTCTATCTTACTGTCTTCCATTTCTGTGCAGCTTATACATTCACTCCAACTGAACAGGCCTACAGCAGTATTGTTGTTTCTGCCATTCTTTCCACCTGGGATGACTTTCTGGCAACTACCTATTTCCATACCCTTAATTCCTCAATATACAAGTTTGGTATCATACATAATTTACTGTAAAGCACCTTGGTGTATGTCAGTTCAACAGCAAACTCATCCTGCACTGATCTTATTCTCCTGAGTCCCTGAGTTCTCCCTGGGATATAAAAATCATACATTTTAAGGTGTTTGAGTCCTAACCCTAAAGTTTCTGAGCCTCTAGTCTTGCGTTTTTCACTAGGCAATTTTTTATCCTCCTACAGTAAATAATTGGGGGAATACCAGAATTCTGCTCTTCATCCCTGGTTAAGTATGATCCATGGAGAGATCCAGAGACCTCTGAGCAATCAGATACACTCTTGACTCTCTACTAACTGTTGCCAGTAGAGATGCCCATTGGCAGAAGCTCCCTTTAATCCTACTGACAATGCCAGGTAGTCTTTACTAACCACAAGCACTGTTTACAGTTTTGCTAGTTTGAAACCTTAGTTACAAGAGACTGGCTTCAGGTACTATTGGCCAAGACTTTTGCTGACGGAGGCTTTTATAACCATGCAGCTATAAAGCTTCTAGGGGTTTATCAGGGCCTAAAACTTTAAATTTGATAGTGTTACATTCCAAGAAACGTATCTACAGCATAGTTCACAGCAAAATACCTAAAAAAAAAAAAAAAAAAAAAAAAAAAAAAAAAAAAAAAACCTCTTGTTCCTTCTCTAGTATGAGAAAGCAGTTTGAAGGAACATGTTCTGTGTCCTACAGCATTACATTTAAGAGTCCAGGCAGTGGAATATGACCTATTGCACTCCTAATTATCTCCTTAAGCTCCTGAGTGCCCACTGCTTCACCCAGGGGTCCACTGCCTCTCATGATCATGCTTATGCTCTCAGAAGGAGTAGTCCTTCCTGGAGTTGCAGGGGAAAGCCTGGAATGTCCTCTCCACTATGTACAAACTTAACTAATTTAAGAAGACAAAACTCAAATTACTTCTCATTTCTACCTCCATTTAGAAGAAAATTACCTGGGCCACCAAGCTTTGGGGACAGCTCTAAATGTATTGTGTAATTTTCCAAAAAGATAATCAGACTGAATCCTAAAAGTGATTTACCTAGAGTCACATACTTTTGAAATGTAACACTAACCTGGCATTTAATCACAGGTGGGCATTTTATTATTTAGCTTTTGGATGTATCTTAAATTCTTCAAGTATAGAAAACATTTATCTTCATATTTTCTCATGGACTTGCATGGAGTTTGGAGTATTTGTTAAATAAATGAAGAAATATTATATAAAGCTGTAACTTCCAGAAAATGACATTTTTAAGACTTGTTAGAAAATGCATTTAATTCCTTTAGAATACCTTTTAGCTACTTTTTGTTGTTGTTGATCTTATGCATAACAATGAATAATGCTTTCAAAATGTTTAATATTTTCAAACAAAGCTAATATTCCATTATTTAAATTGAAGTTCTTTGGGCTGGGGATTTAGCTCAGTAGTTCCACCGCCTGCCTTGCAAGCGCAAGGTCCCGAGTCTGGTCCCCGGTACCAAATAAGTAAGTAAATAAATAAATAAATAAATAAATAAATAAATAAATAAATTGAAGTTCTTCAAACTATCCCAAGATAAAATAGTTTCAAACAGTATAACTTTTACCAATTTATTAAAATAAGTAGGATACATAGTTTTTATTTACTCAGCAATAGATGATATATTGATTGAGCTGAGAATTGTTTCCTGAGAAAACTTTCCAAGAACTAGATAAAAATTTATTATAATATATATATTCAAATTTAAAAAAATAAAGAACTAGTATATTTGTAGATGGCTGCAAAACAGGGCAAGTCCTGAACAGGTAATATTTTGAAAGCCTTACTGAATCAAATATACTTTAAGAATCAAAACAATAAAAATGAAGATCTATTTGCTTATACCAGTAAGCAACAGATTTACCTATGTATGATGATAAAAATGTGTAGTTTCCCAAAATATATTCATTGATTTTCCGTCACTTCAAGTGAGTGCTAATATATAAAGCATGAAAAGACTTTTCACTTACTAAATCACTATTATCGTTCTATTTATGAGACATTCTAAGAGTTAATTACCAAGTGTATAACCTCTTGTTTACTCTTGGAACTGGTAGGCTTCACAGGTAGAATTTTGAGCAATTACTACATCTTGCAGTAGTACTCTCAAACTGAAGCAGATACTTTGATTTATGTTTTAGATATTTGTTCTAAATTAAATGTCATTTCCTAAAAGGCACATTAATTTAATAATTGACATCATTTTCTAAAGCATGTATAGAATGTGGCAGAAGGTATTATTGTTTACATTTTTCTCTATGAAGATTACAATGTAGCACAGTTAATTTCAATATTTTTAATCTCATTTTTACTTTTTATTTCTTAAAATGCTAAAGCAGATTAGGCTTCACAACAAAAGTACTGACTTTGAGATGTAAAGTGGTAATAAATAATTCAGTCTATTTTAGTTTTAAAATATTTTTGCAATTTGTCGCATGGTCACTTCTGTACTAATCTCATTTTCTCTTTCCAACAATATGAGCATTTTTCCAGGTCTAGAGTTAAATAATGATACCACCTTTGCAATCATTTTTCATGGGAGAAAAAGTTTCAACAAAGTAATTGGTTGAAAGGAGCTTTTCTCTTGTTCATTTTTCCTTCAGGTTCTTCCAAGACAGACCTGTGGGCTTTTCACTCACACAATTTTCTACAAAGAATATCCAGGAGGCCCTAAAGAGCTGGACAAAAGTATTCAAGGAGGTGAACTTTTCTTCACTGTTGTACTCAACCCAGTAAGTACTTGGAGTTTTTCTTCAAACAATAAAAATGACAGAACACATGAAAATCACCCTGATGACAATGCTAGGGTTTGGGTATCAGCCATTTCAGCATGAAGTTTCAGCTCTAAAACAGTGTTAGAAACTGAATGGAGCCACATCTAGAAAAGAGGACATATTATTGTACAAGCAACAGAGATATGGTGAACTTAATGGTAGAATGAGGGAGTGCTCCAGCCAACCCTTCTCTCTGCATTGGAAAGTGAACACAATTTAAAGATTCTTGCTTTTGTGAAGAGCAAGATTTTTTACCAACAAATCTCTCCTATTTGCATTGGGGAGCAGTTTTTTCAGTTTTGTTTTGTTTTTTCTTAAGCAATCATTAGCTTTATTGCTCCTTTTTTCTATTTAAGATACAGACAAAATATTTATATTTTTATAAGTATAAATGAAAGGAATTAGATAAATAAATAGTCATTATTCCTACATTCATGTTATTTCCTGCCTAGGTCACATAGCAGCCCTTTTTAATGGCCTACTGCTCTTCCTTATTCAGTTCTTAATACTTATGTATCAACACTACAGTGAACCATTTGCTCATATTATTGCTTGAGGCAAGTAGTATAAAATTGTATGGAGAAAGAACTAATTGAACTAAGGTGTATAAGGAAAATAATTTTCTGTGGGAAAATCACTAACATAAAATAAAGCTAATCTCATTTTTCAGATGTGTGGGTTTGCCCCTGGCATTAGCAATATTCAGGATAAAATATTCCTCCAAAAAATTTTATCAGGATAAAAATGGGGTAAGATACAAATAATTTGAATAAAATTTGAAAGACTCCATTCTTGACCTTAATTTTACAGGCCTGCAAATAAAATTGCAAGTATCTTTTGTAATTTACTCTTTTTAAATAACTGTATATTTTTTAGCTTCTAGAGTGTTTTAGCTCCTAGAAAATTAAATAGAAATAAAGGTAACTCCTCTTCAAAAGAAATTTTCAGGTGTGTTCAGAACTGGAGATCACATAAAATGTGGCATTTATCAACCTTGAGACCCCCAAAATATGAATAATTGGAATATGAACAACAGAAATAACCTGATTTCCTAACTTACCTATTTTTTTAAAAATTGAAATGTCTTTTAAGTCATATCATATGGCTTTTTTCTCCTTTTTTCTTAATTCAGCTAATAATGCACAGGCAAAAGGAATTAAATCAATGCTTGTTTATGAACTGAAAACTTATCTCTCTGTTTCCTATTATCTATCTTTTATTTTTCTCTTTAATTATGTATATTTTGGGTTTCTCATATATGAGAAAGCATGGCTATATAAGCTTATGTGTCTGGACTCAATTAAAATAATTTTTAAATGCTAACATTTCGGTGTAAGACCCTTTATGACCCACAAAATTCTGATATTTTACATTTCCTCTCATCATGGAACAATAGGACTATGAACCACTATTATTCTTTTAACTAATAGTTGCTTTGATGATTCCTGGTAATAGTGTTATTTCAGGATTTTCTAAAGCCAATGAATTTTATTTAACATGAAAGAAATTAAAAATCAGATCATTCATATGCAATGAATTTATATTAAAAATTTCACCCCCATAAGAAAAGCTGTTTTTCATTAATTAGAAACCAAATTTTAAAAATTCATACAGGAAAGCTTGTGTTAATCTTGAGCTCTAATTTAGTCTAGCTGAGCAAACTTGTTGCTCTTGAGGCCTTTATCAATATTTGGCAATTTTATTTATCTTAATGAAGAGATCCATTAGGAATAAAGGGTTTTTAAAAAGTTTGAAAAATTGTTTTTCTCTTGATTCAGAAAACTTTCAGAAGGGAATTACTTTCAAATAGACACTTGGACTCAAAATAAGTGACAAATCTCATCAAGTACCGTAAGATAAATAATGAATCCAAACCCTTTCATTTTGTATACCAGGTCAAGTATTGGGAAGCAATTCTATTTACCTGTGAACATGAGGTTGAGAAGTCTATATTTAAAATCAACCAATCTAGCCAACAAGGAAATCTGCTATCATTAGGGTAATCTGCCTTGCAGAATGGAGTAAAGAGAGGTAGTATCTTTCCTATGAGTTCTCATAGTAAAATTAAATGCTTGAATAAAGTTTGTGTTAAAGTTTAAAAACTTTCAAATGAAGCGAGGCACACTATTAACTTGTCAGATAATACCTCATTAAGTTAGAATGAGAAAATCTTGAGGATAACAAACTATATATTAGCTGCAAGAAAGACATGAATTTTAATTATAATGAATTTGAAAGATAGCCATTGTAAGATCCTGTAATACGTCAAACCTCAATTAAAATTTTTATTTTGTGCCAAATGAATTTACTTTAAAAAAGGTTTATGTGTACTGTAAACATGGAACTTAAACAGATTTAGGTACATTTGAGTTGAAAATAAAAACCTGATCACGATTTAATTAGTGAAGTTTTAAAATTTTCTTTGCATGCATCAACATAATATTAAGGTGCTAGAATAACTTAGCAGTGTTGTAGTGAGAGTGGCTCAACCTAATACTGTGCATCAATATAATATGAAGGTGTTAGAATAACTTATCTATATTGGCGTTAGAGGCAGCTACAATAAAATATCTTTCAAAATTAATCTGGAATAAATCACAGCAAAGAAGAAAACTCTTTGAATAAAATAACTTTCTGATGTGACATGTTTCACTGTTACCAAAAATCTTTTGTTGCTTAAAAAAAAAAAAAGACATGTCAATCAAGTGACTATAATGCAAATAAAAAGTTGCAAAGACAAATATTAACACTGTGGAGGGGAAAGAAAACCTTGGTTATCTCTAAATGAGCATTTCCAATGTCACAGGCCTGAAAATTTCTGGCATGGATTGAATGCAGGAGTTTTGATTAACAGAATTTTAAGGATCAGGTTCAGTTGGGAAGTAGACCCATCAGGCTCTTTAAGCCTGGCCCCATTAAAAAATTAATTTTTCTAACTCTTCTTGTTCTGATCCTAAAGTTAGTTATCAATTGACTCCAGTTTGCTTTCCTACATACATCTTGCTATGAAAAATACGTTGATCATAGAAACTTGTACTCACTGGAACAGTAACTTGCAAAACAGTTTTACAAATTGTCTTTTAATTGGTAAGTATTTCTCATGCAACCTGACCACCAGAATAGGGGCCTCTAATTGCACAGATTCCATTATTCATTTCCTCCCTAATTTATAATTATCCATGTTAAACTAATAGATGACATTGTTTTTATTTATTAATTTCATGAGCTTTACTAATTTGATTCTATCCGAGAAATGGACTCTCCTGTCAGTGTGAATGCACTGAAATTTTGTAAATTATTAGGCTGAGGAAACAAGCTCTGAAGTGTGACTGAATTACATATTGCTTGGTATTGTTCTTCACACATCTAATTGTCTTCCTGTATAGAAATTTGTTTCTGTTGAGTTTCTCTGATTTAAGGCCTATAGACTCACACAAGTTATCTCTAAAATGGATAGAGAAATCTGAATTCTGAGATTAATAAAGCCCAAAGGTCCATAAAAATGAGAGTTACTGACTGCCAACATGTTTTAGGACTTTAACATGAACACAACAAAAGGGTTATGTGCCTGAGTTTCTTTTATTTCTACTACTAATATACATATTTTTTCTCTGCCTCAAAAGTGCTGTTTTTTTCCAGTTTCTGGATCATCATCAATTAATCCCATACATGGTCCAACAGGATTACATCAGTTTTCCATATCACAAATCAGCTTCAATTCTCACCTGCTGATTTCTTCATCGTTTTGTAGTTTCTGAGTTAAACTTCCAAGCAAGAGAATCAAGTTGGCCTGGGTCACCATTTTGAGTGTTAGTCTTGGCCTGCTATGGAATGACTGTCCCTAGGCTTACCCCCAGCCTCCTTCTAAATCATGACAGAACAAGACTGCATAAGGGTTATTCTTTCAGCAAAGACTTGGGAGGGGTAGGCACAATGGCTGCTCTCTACCCTGGACCTGAATCCTCTGGTAACAGTCAATGTGGTCTTCAGCCAATTCCAGAGACTTGGAAGTAAGCTAAACCTCTTTGAAAAGGGTCTAATGATTAATTTTGAAGCTTATAAAGCCTTAGTAAAATCCCTTAGGAGGAATCAGTTGATTTTATTTATCATTTTACTCACAGTCACATGTCTTGTGTTTTGCTTATTCTATAGTCTCAGCAACAGAAATGTCTGTGGCATGGGATAGTGCTTGCAAAATATTTTATAAATTAATGAATTAACATAAATGTCCAAACCTCAGGAAAGTGTTTCTGGCAAAGTAAATTACATTTCCCCAAAATAGAATGCATTCAGCCATTAAAAATCATGTTATTTACCAAAAAAAAAAAATCATGTTATTTAATAATTTTCTGTGACATTGGAAATAGTCATGATATATTCAGTAAAAAATATCTATTACAAGAAAACCAAATATGAGCATGGAAATAAACTAGATGGAATTCAGCATAATATTAGCTGTGGATATCTTAGATCACAAGATTAAAGATGATTTCCATTGTCATCTTTTGTTTGTCTGATTTTTATAAAATGTCTACAATAAATACCTATTACTCATATCAGGAAATTCATAGACACATGCATACATTAAAAACAATAATAACAAAATATTATCTAGTAGTGAAGGACATAAAATGGAATTATTTTGTGTCATGAGTATATCAGTGATAGAATTAATACTTTCTCAGTTCTAATTGTTCTCTGTCTTTGTATCATATTTTGCCTAATACTTGCCTTAGTGTGGATATTTGTGTATATATCTTTCCAACTACATAAGAAGCTATTCCTTTTTTTTTTTAGGACATTCTTCTTATAAGAATTATTTGGGTATATTTAAACTTTGTGCTTCTCATAGATTAATATTTTGAATGCAGTAAGAGGTCACTAAATGTTTGTAAATGACTGAATGCATGAAGAGTTATGTTTCAGGCCATTGTTTAATTCATGGCATACTCAAATGT